AGTAACCTTTCCTCTGATCACGGAGCAGCCGGCTTGCTTGTTCTCGCAATGAATCCTGGGATATCCAAGAATACCGAGGATACATCGGACCCGTCCTTCAAATTGGGCAAAAAGAAGGACGCATTTTAAGGCCGCATAACGAGGACTCTTGGAATCCGACCAGACCTCGGCGCCGCGCTATGACGTAATCGGCCTTCGAATCCGGTCTTCTAAGGATGCGTCCTAGGTTTTCGAACAGAGCAATGGTTTCACGAAAAGAAAAGTAATAAATAAACTGTACATGCTAAATATATGGTAGCCTGTTTCCGCCACATGAAAGTAAAAAAAAAAATGCCAATTCGAAGGTCATAATTATGAGATTCAAAAATTCAAACAAAAACTTTGTATTCCATAATTATGACCTTGAAACATGAAAACATGACTTTATAATTATAATTCAATTATATAATTATGACTTTGAATGTCAAAATTATGACTTTATATCTCAAAATAATGACTTTGAATGTCTAAATTATGACTTTGTATGTCATAATTATGACTTTGAAACGTGAAATTATGACTTTATATCTCATAATCATAACTTTGAATGTCGAAATTATGACTTTATATCTCATAATTATGACTTTGAATGTCGAAATTATGACTTTGTATCTTATAATAATGACTTTGAAACGTGAAATTATGATTTTGTATCTCATAATTATGACTTTGAAGCGTGAAAATATGACTTTGTTTCTCATAATCATGACTGTGAATGTCGAAATAATGACATATCTTATAATTATGACTTTGAAACATGACTTTCTATTTAGCATTTTTAAACTTTCATGTGGCAGAAATGGGCTTCCATATAATAAGATTAATATGATTGTGAAAAAAAGAAGTCAGCTTTTGAAAAAAAAAAGACATAATAAAGGTGGCCGTTTTTCGGTTCAGAGTACTTTCATTGAACTTGTGAAATATAAATTATTAACTGTTTTAATTTTGAATATAAATAATCCAAATAAAGGATAAAAACTAATAATTAGGTGTTTTGCAATAAAATATATCCTCTTAATATTTATTTTAATTGTGTGAAAGCTATAATCCCAGGCCTGCTTTGCGTTTCCTCAGACCAGAGGGAATGCCCCGCAAGGCCACGCGCTGCTCAGTTTGCGGAGCTTTGAAGTCAGCGTCCCTCCAGCCGGTGGAGACGGGGAGCCGCCATTTTGTTCCCGCTTAACTATTTATGCTTGCCCCGATTTTTAATAGAAACAACCGATACTAGCAGTGTTTTTATTACCAAAAGCGTTAAAATGAATCATTATCGGGCGCGCGAGGCTAGCTCTCACGCGCAGACAAATCAGTTATGGAGGGAGAGGCTATAAATATGAGGCGGTGGCCCTGGAGACGCCTGCCAGTTAGGAGCTGAACTCAGGGGGACTCCCAGGATTTCACAGGTTCTTTAGGTATGTAGCAAACCACCGGCTCACTAAATAAGAATGTTTTCAGCCCAAAGCTCTTTTTAGAATGATCGTTGGTTGTTTTTTCAGAGAAAATAAGCTAGTTTGTACAAGGTAACCGGTTCAAAGGAAGCATTAAGTTAAATTTAATTCAGTAGAAGAAGTGCTAGCAAGCTGTTAGCAACGTTAGCGCGGCCGGAAAACCTTTTATTTTCGTTTTTGCGCGCATTTCCAGATGTAAATTGCGTCAACCTGAGAACATGTTGGTTTAGAAGTCTGAAAAAAAGTTACTGAATCAACAATAAGATTGATTCTTTTGTACAACTTCATACAGGTCGGTTCTTTCTAGAATTAAGCGTTTATCCAACCGTCCATCTTTACCCGAGCTGCATCATGGAGGCAATGGGAGAAGCTCTGTTTCACAAGCTACTAAATACATACTGCTTTCATTCGCTAAAATACAAGCAGAATTATCTGAACTAATATATATTTTAGCTGCATATTTGCTTTTTTTAATCTCTGCAAATTTTTTCCAAGAATGAATTTTAATAAAGTTTGCTTCACCTGAAACTGATAAATATTTTTGACAATATTTTGTCTAACAAAGGGTAATTAAATCAGATTTAACTAGATAAAGCACTGTAAAATGATTAAAACTCCTTGAATTAGCAGCTCCAAAAACATAAGTGCAATTACTTGATCACTGGAGTAATTGCAGGTACCTAAATATGTTGTGAAAGGGTTTATTTTGGTAACTTATCTCAAAAAGGGAAACCTCAATAGAAATGTAAAGTCTTTTTTTTCCTATTATTTTGATTATCATGGATTAGTGGAAAATATAAATTCAGTGTCTTAGAGATTTAATATATTTTGAGACATTTGGACTGGGGCTGGTAGATCCTTCAAATGTCCACCACGACACTTTCCTTGTGTCCAGCCATTCCTAAGTTAAATGTAAGAAGCATCTTATGTTTGGGAGACAAAGAACTCAGGCCGTTTTTGTTTAAACTTAACAGTTTTTTTGTTTTGTATTTTACTCCTACATGCCTATAATTTAGGGGAATTTACTCCTACTTTCAAATTTAAGAACTTTTAATTTTCTATCTAGAACCAGTCCTACTCCTCCAATGTTTCAGAGACCTCCAGAGGTGTCATAAGTGTTTAGGAGTTGCCACTAGGAGATGGTATTGAGAGGAGAGAGACATCTTTGGATGTTCTGGGAGCAGAACACATCATGGCTTTGGCAACACACAGCTGATTAAACTATTGTTGGGGCAGAGCGGATATAATTTGTGTTACGGCTTTTATAAGATACATAATCTCACTACTGACCACATGCAGCAGCCTTTCATATTGGAAATAAAACAGGGTTTCTGCAGGTCATCAAAAATAAGTCATTCAATTATAATTTTGTTAGCTTAAAGCCTTAATTGGCATTAAAATTAATTAAATGTGATTATCCTGGCATCTAAAATGCGTTATTTTCATCAGATTTATCAGATATAAATGGTTTTGCGTGTTTGCGCGGAACTGCTCTTTATTGATCGTAAAATGTTGTTTGGAAAAGAAGCTTGAGGTGGAGAAAAAGCTAGAAAATGTGAAAATGCAAATTTTAACAAATTAGGCTTCAAAAAAAGGGGAATTCGGGTCATGGCTGCAGCTTGTGGATGGTAAAGATGATGAGGGATTTTGCAGTTTTTTTTATATATATATATATATATATATATATATATATAGAGAGAGAGAGAGAGAGAGAGAGAGAGAGAGAGAGAGAGAGAGAAAGAGAGAGAGAGGGAGGGAGAGAGAGAGAGAGAGGTTGATTGCATTGAAATTATTTCTAAGAACATTAAAAAGCATTAAATTAAAGTTACTTATTTCTTTATAAAGGAATAAGTGAGGATTTTTTTCAGGGAATGGCACCACATTTTTTTTTAAAAACTTGTAGGGTGGCCGCATTCACCTGTGTTTTGACGTGTTCTTAATAAACACTTGGGTTCATATTATCATCTTAATTTTGATTAGTTAGACGTAAATGATCCACATGAAGCAGTAATTGGGCTCAGGGCAGCAGCAGACTGAACCTTTTGGACTTCATAGAAACGCTAATGAACGAACTCAGCTAACATGCATTATTTAGAGCAAGTTTGCAAATGTGCTTTGCATGGCTCCAGTTTTTACAGAATCCTTCACTGTTCCAGCAGAGCTTTCTGTAGTCCTGTTATTAGTTTTATGGAAAAATAAAATCCAAAAATCTATTTTTTTTTTCTTCATCCTCTCATCTTACCCAAAGGAAATGTTAAGTGTGGAATGTTTAGTTTCTGAGCAATAAATTAAATATTTGAACTCAGTCTTGATGGCTGTTTCAGTTTTATTTAGCACACCACTTAATCATCACAATACCTGCAGTAGGAATATTATAGCCAAGTGAGTTAACATTTTATTTACATTCCGTAAAAATTCAAAAAATATCCACTGGACTTGGTTTTCAAGATTTGAAGATGTTACGTTCTTGAAAACCAAGTCCAGTAGATATTTTTTGAATTTTTACGGAATGACTATGACCTGGATGACTGAGAACCTTCATCAGCATTTTATTTACATGTTTTAAATATTTACATATTGCTTATGATCACAAAATGCATTCAGCTCACCTTCATACAGATTTGATATTCAGGAAAAGGCCTTATTTTCTCAGGCGTACTGTGAGGCTAAATCGGATAAATTTGAAAGAGTTTGAAATATATGGGACTAAACATGAAGTCCACATGTGAGTTGTTGCTCACTGAAAATATCCAGTAGGTGGCGCCATTATCCATCTACAGAAGAGCTTGCTAAGATGTTATTTCCATATGCGGTTCTGCTTAAATAAATGAATCATTCCAAGTTCCCTTGAATAATTAATCAGGTCTTATTTTATTTCCAAGCTGTTTCTTTAGTTTGTCAGAGTTAAGGTTATGGATCTTATTACCGAAATAATATGCTCTTTTAGCTTCCATTCAACAATACAGTTTCATAATTTCACTATTGTCATATTGTCTCTATAATTAAAATTAGGTTTATTTTTATTTTAAAAGTGTTAGTTACTTTATTTCCTGTTTGTTGGTTAATGGTTATTTTACCACTAACCAACCGTTTATCTTTAATGGAAATGTAAGCTTAAAGAGGCATCATGAACACGTGTGATTGGTTGATTAAAGCACTGAGAGCTACATTATTGTGTCTTCAACAGGAAAGTAAAAGATGAGCTGTGAGCTGCAGTAAGGTGGTCTCCAGCCAGTGCTCCCACCCCCTCTGAATGCAGTTCATGCTTTTAAACAGGATGGCCGACGTGAAAGCCTGCTTCTCCATGAGTGGGAATCCACCTCCACCAGAGGTCATCAATCACCAGAGGCCTGGGCGCGTAACCAATCAGCTGCTCTACCTGCAGAAGGTGGTCATGAAAGCTCAGTGGAAACATCAGTATTCGTGGCCTTTTCGCCAGCCTGTCGATGCGGTCGCTCTGGGTCTTCCTGTAAGTTGTTTGACTCTCAGTGTTGTACTGTTACAGCAACTGGAAATGATTCAAACTCCTTTAGGTTTTTAAGTTTTCCGAACTTTTACAAGTACAAACTATTAGTGCTGCAGGTATGTTTCTTTTAGGGTTGTCACGATACTAAACTTTTCAACTCGATACCGATACTAAGGAAAATATTCGATACTCGATACCATTTTCGATACCACAAGGATAAAAACAAAGACTTCAAAATTCTACAGAAATATTTTCATTACTAAATAAAATACAATAAATAAATACAATAAAGGTTGTATGCTGTGCATAATATTAAGCAAGCTTGATAAAAAACTTAAAATTAAAATTAAGTGTTCCTTCCTTGGCTATGCTTTGCACACATAACAATGATGCTAGCCAAACCGCTTAAGAAACAAAAATCATTCCCAGCAGCTGCACCTGTTACAAAACAAAAGTCTGATACTGAAAAGTGCAGAAAATTATTCAATCACACAGTGTTCAGAAAGTGCATTTTCCACTATTCTGCACTTTAGATGAATGACTGCTTAGGTGCCACTGGTGACAGCACTGTATCGATACTTTTAAAAACGAGTATTGTATCCGGATACAACGTTTCAGTATCGATACTTTTTTGAGTATCTATACTTTTGACAACCCTAGTTTCTTTTGGGGACGATTTATTAATTTGTTAATAAATGCAGGACCAGGAGGCACTGAAAAACAATAACAGCTACTTGTTTTTAACATGTAAATCATACAATTAGAAATTCTATTTGAAAAGGGTTTTGTAATTGTACATTTTTAATTTAATTATGAAAATTCTGGCTTGGTATATGATCTGTGATTGGAAAAAGTTAGATTTAACTCAGTTTATGATGCTACTCTATGTTCATTTAGTCACTCTTCAGTTTAATTTTCCAGGACGCTCTCATCCAAAGCCTGTTTTTTTTCTTCCCATGGCCAATCACTGCACAGCAGAACCCTTGGAAAAGTCTAGAGTCTAGAAGTTTTGCTTTTAACAGAGTCCTCCACCTGAACTCCTTCCAAAAAGTTAGTTAAAAAACAAACCAGTGGACTTTGTTTTCCAAGTTTGAAGATATTGTGCATGTTTTCTAAGCCACGACGAGGCTTTTGTTGGGCTACAATATAAAAGCCTGGAGCTCAATGCTAATCCAGACATTTTGAGTTGAGAAAGCTTCTTGGATTGGAAGCGAAACATCTTCAAACTTGGAAAACAAAGTCCACTGGTTTGTTTTTTAACACACTAACTAATCTCCACTTGCAAACTCCACCTGAACTGTAGATTCGTGCAGCTCCTCCAGAGGTGCTGTATGTTTGGCAAATGCCTGGCTTGTGAGGATTTCCTGATGGACTCATCCAAACCTAAGATCCCAAAATGCTCACAGGTTTATAACCAGTCAGGGAAGGATTTTATTCAAGGGTGTCGGAGGAAGTGGGGAGGAATCAGAAAGGAGAGCTGGAACTGAAACATTTTCTTTTTCTGTGTTTTAGGATTATTATAAAATCATTACTTATCCTATGGATCTCAGCACAATCAAGAGGCGACTGGAGAACAGGTATTACTGGGAGGCCAGTGAATGTGTGAAAGACTTTAAGGCCATGTTCTCCAACTGCTACATGTACAACAAGGTAAGGACACCATGTGCTATGCTCGTTTTCCAGAACCTAAACATATTAGTGACGTGCTGACACCTAAAACCGGATTTAGAGGTCTGTGGTCCTGAATCCGTTACGAATCGGATCTTTTCAAATGCGACCCGTGTCTGAAGGGCCAGGTCGCATCCATTCGACTTGAACTCCATTAATACCCGACAAAGGTCACTATTCTGGGTCTGGCTACGCAGAAGTGGCAAAAACAACAACAATGGTGGATAATAATGCAGGGTTGGGAAAAATCGCTAGATGCGCTCCGGCACTACCACCCATTGTCTACTTCCGTAAACATAGAGCACGCTTGCTTGTGATGTCATTGCGTGTTCTACTGCTCTTGCGGGACAATTGCGTTGTATGAATTCAGCTCACACAGGAGATCAAATACAAGTCAGATATATTTGGAAATGTGAATAGCAACGCCAAAAAAAAATCAGATTTCACAAAAAATCGCAATTGAACATCAAGGCCTGCAGTGTGAACGTAGCCTTAGATGCATCTCTTCTATAACACGACTGAATCTAAAACCTCAATCCCCTCATTTAGCCCAGCAGTGGCATGGTAACGAGCCACTCATTTGATTCAGGTGTGTTAAAAACGGTCGCATCAGTGACCCCTCATGGTCTTGTCACACCTTGCCGACTTAGACGGCGTACGCCCGACATCCCAGAATCTGCTAAAACCCTGGACACTGAACTTTCTATGTATTTTTTTTCAATTTTGGTCACATACATAGAGTATTTATGAGTCAAGAACAATGTCCAACGACAGCGTAACTTATGCATAACGCCTGGCAGTGTCATTTCATGTGCATTAGGCAGCATCAGTTAAAGAGGGGAGTAGCGATGATGCCTCCCACCAAAAAAAAAAAAAAAGAGAAAAAACAGATTTGCCAATGCAGCTGATGCAGCGTCATGTCTGCTAGAAGGTTTGTTGGTCTTTGGTGTGAACGCAGGGAGGATCCATCACACTCAGCTTCTCGCTCGCTCTGTGATGGAAATGCAGACTGAAGAAGTTCCTCAGAAGTTTTGGATAAGCTAGACGCCACGACTTATGAGTAATTTACACTTAACTCAGAACTTATACAAAACTTACCCATAACTTATTAAAAATATGCCAGTATTTTTGCTAGATTTTCCGTACGTCAGGCATATGCTGGTCTAAATTTTCAATGTGTGACAGCCGCTTAACATATGGGTTTCTTCTGGCTGTAAACGGCGTTTGTGTTTCGGAGTGTTCCTGCCAGTGTTGGAAAGATTAGGAGACGACAAAAAACACGAAAATATTTGTAACATGAAATCTTGCCTGTAACTATAATGTTCCTTTCACACTGAAAAACAAATGATGCATCTGGAGCGAGCAGTATTTTCATAATTCATTTTCTGAAATTTTTTATTTTTTTTCTGAATTGCGGTCTAGTGATTTATTTTTACCAATCAATTAATCTGTCAATTACTTTTTTCGATTAATAATCTGATAGCAAAAGGTTCCTTAAAGAAGACTTTTTATAAAATTACCCCCGGTAAAGCTCAAACTTTTCCCCTTTTAGAAAAGTTTAGGCAAGTTTTAGAGTCTATACTCCAGTTAACGATTAATCGATTACTAAATTAGTTGACGATTATTTCAATAATTGATTAATCCTACTGTTTCAGCCGTATTGCCTTTCACAGATCATTCTCTTTGCTTCAAGCCCCAAAAAAAGGCAGTTTCTCAATTTACAGGAAGATGAGTACGGACTCGGGTCCTCGCCAAGTATGTTCTTGAGAAGAACACAGAGAAGTATGGGAAGATCGTGAGCATGCAGCATAAATATGGTTCAATTGGAGCTGCAGGGTACTTGTGACGTCACCACGTGCTCGGCTAGTCTGGAAATGCATTTCGCCTCCTGTTATTAATAATAAACACAAATCAAATTCACATTAAAAAAAATATATATATAACTCACAATCAG